ATTTGGGACTTTGCCTGGGGTAATTTCATTGGAGCTGTGGGAACAAAGTCAGAAAGCAGTGCGTTGAGTGTGTGAATGGTATGTAAGAAGACATAAGCAGGGACCTTAGACCAGCACTTCTGGTCTACGTTAATGTGTCTATGAGTCACTGGGTGATCACTTGGAGATCTTGTTAAAGTGGAGACTCTGAATCAGTAGGTCTGGCATGGATACCCATATTCTGCATTTCCAACAACCTCCCAAACAATAGGGATGCTGCTGTTCTGACAATCACCTGAACTCAGTTTCCCAAATTGCTCATTGAGGCATCCCAGAGCACTGTAGCTAACTTGCAAGGGTGCCACGGGATATTTTAAAATTTCAAGGGAAATACCACAACATCATTAGATTGCTATATTAGATCACTGCATTCCTTTCAGTGATGTCATACCTTTGGGAAACTGGATTTTCAGTGCTTGCTATGATAAAAAGCAAGCACTGTCTGACAATCAGGGTTGAACAGGAAATGAGGCTGTCAGTGTCCAATCTGAATCCAAGGTTTGAAAAGTATGCAGTGCCCAACAGGCATCCAGTTTTTAGGACTTAAAATATTAAGTGGTTTGGCTCTTACTGCTTAACAAAGGTGACTACAGTTGTTGGCCTAGGAGTACCCTGCAAGATCACTGAGACACTAAAGATTCTGTGAGCCAAGAAAATCTGGAACCGTTGACATAGGACTGTTCTTCATAGAAACTTGTCTGTGGAACCAAAGAGAACTGAGATGATCGGACGGGAGCTAAAAGAGGAACAAAGGAACATTTATTTTAAAATAAAAGAGACAGATATGTTAATGTTGGTGGAGGGAGCAACTGATAGAGAAACAACAGGTGTTGACTTAGAGTGAAAGGTCTCTGAAGAGGTGAGAAAGGATGGAATCTGTTTTTTCTAAATATTGCCCCCAAACCAACATTGGTTTGTTGGAAGAAGTGTGGAACCTCATGCCCCACTCCAGATCTCCTGAATCAGAATATGCATTTTAATGCAATCCCCAGGTGTGATTTCTATGCATATTAAAATTTCAGAGGCACTATAAGAGGCAGGGTTAGCCTTATATAGAAGAAAAAAAATACGGCTCCCTTTTATTTATTTATTATGTACCTTCCTGCATTCTGGCCATTTTGACTGAGGGAAAGGAGATGACAAAGGTTATTTATTTAGATTAATTTAGAAATGTTGGGGTAAAAAGTTAAGGAAGTTTTTGCTTGTTTGCCCTAATTACCTCAGATAAGTTAATGGAAAATATCTCCCATCTAGTGAATAAGAAAATTGGGATTCAAATAGTGGCTGAGAGAGGTGAGCGATGGAGATTTGAAATAACTGTTTTGAGGAACGTCAACAAACCTGAGCAGAAATACAGAAATTGCCAAGGAGTTCTGAAGGTCCAGGTGAGGTCAGAGACAACTTTTAGTGGTGTCAATCTGCATGATCGTAACTTTTTCCATTGGTGCTTAGTAGCTTGGGTGTAGGAACTGCAAAAATTGGAGTCTACATTTGTTGATTTCCAGCTTGAGGTTAATGAAAAAATAAGCTAGCAAAAACCTATCCTGAATATGGAAAGAAATGAAGCCACGAGGAGGCTGAGATGAGAAAAAGGAATAGAAGGTTGGAGTTCTCCTTGAAAGCCAATGAAAAGGTCACATATCCTGAAGTTGGAAGAATCCTTCCCTTGTTTTTATCCATAGGGAGAGGAAAATTCTTTCCTGTCAGACTGCAGATATTTAAAACAGGACTTTGTGACTGATTAGATAACAGGAAAGAAGTTTCAGTCTAGGATGACTCCTACTTATTATGGTATTAAAGACCGCTGGGAACATAGTAATTGATGAGACATTGACCTCCAGTGAGCATTTTTTTCTAAAAGGGAAAGGCAGAGGGTGTGATGAGGAAGGAAGCATGGAGGCAGAATGAGATTTGGAAATGTTGAATTTGAAGTTGGATAGGGGAGTATGTAGGTAAAGATAGCTATTTAGACCACTGGAAACAGGGACATGGAACATAAGCTGTCAGGTATGAAGATGAGTTTGGGATTCAGTGATATAATAATAGCTTCTATTGATTGTTCATTGTTATGAAGAAGACTGAGGGGTTTATATTATCATTATCACATCCTCTCATCAGTCTTTTGAGGCAGGTATTAAGCCATTTTACAGATGAGGAAGTAAGATCAGACACATGCCCAGGGCCACACAGCTAATAATTGTTAGAACCAAGGTTAGGAACTAGATCTCTCTGATTCCAAATCCATGCCCTTCCTAAGCTCTACTGTATTTTAGGTAACAGCTTCTGGGTCTTGATTGATACCTGATGTGTTATAGAGTTTCTCAGATGCAAATAACTGAAACAAAACAAAAATCTTTCAAATGAGCTTAAAGCAGAACAAAATGTATTGGTCTTCATATCTATGGGTCTACTGATTGAGTGGCAGAGTTGAAACCGTGGGCTCAAGCAATATTATCAAAATTTGATTTCTTCAACTTTTCTGTATTACTCTCTTGTAAGCTCCTTGATATGACAAGATGACCCGAATAGTGTCAGCATTACATCATGGAGATATTTACAGACTGAGAGCTGCTCTTTACCAAGGGCTTTGACAAAAATCCTGGAGTTGAGCTTCATTGCCTCTGATTGGCTTAGGCCCTGTGCCCATTTCTGAACCAACTTCTGGTCAGGCTTGAGCCACATGTCCAGCCTAGAGGGTAGAGAGTGAACCTCGCCCAGGGATAAGAACTGAGGACTACAGGTCAGGCTTTCCCAAGTAAACGAGACACCTAAAAAGAGAAGGGGAAGGGATGCCAGGCAAACGAAAGCTGCTTGTCTACACATGGACAGGGATGAAAATCTTCCCTGTGACTGCTTGAGGGTGATGATAAAGATTATGAGATTGTCAGTAATGATGAAAATAAGTGATATTTGTTAGATGCTTTCTAGGTACCAGGTGCTATGCTAGTCTTTTACATGTATTCTATTTTTAATCCTTACCGTAGGTGTGTGAAGTGTATACTGTCATTATTTCCAAATACAGTTAGTAAGTGGTAGAGCTGAGAATTGAATTCAGGCTGGTCAGCTCCATACCTCACCCTCTCTATTACCACCATAACATTTTAATTGTAATTTTCTCATTGTAGTTTTCACATTTTGTCTAGTTACAGTGGTTGACAGCATATAGTGAACCAGACAGACCTGGGCCACCAGTTGTTCTACATAGTATGCTTAATAAATAATTGTTAATATGACTTAAATAGCATTTACTTTAAGTATTATAGTAGAAAATTTTTTGAATTAAGTTCTTAGTTTTTCTCTTAAAATATTTTGTCCTTTATATTTTAATCTTATAAGTGGCTTTTTATGTTTAGCCACTTCAATCCTAGAACTCTTTGTTTTCTTAAACTTCTTATATCATACTTCAATATGTAAAATTCTAGTTGGATTATTTCATTTTTAGTGTATCTGTAGAGATTATTAAAATATTTTTGTTAATCTTGTTTAGTAATGGTTTCAAAGTCTTGTATTTCTATAAAGGCTTTTTAGTAAAAAGCTAATATTTTAAGGCTTTTATTATCAAAATAATTTATTCTGAGGTTGTCCTGTTTACTTATTTGACTTGGTCATTGACAAAAATAAAAAGTTAATCTCGTGGTCTTATTTTTAAGATGCTTATTTTAAGCATTAAAACCTTGTGTTTTGCAGTGACTAACAGAGTTTGAGTTTTTAGAATGATAAAAGTTATCAAGTCACATTTTATTTTGGTTTTCACGATTTTGGGCTATGTGGTGCCAATTACATTTCTTTTAATCCTGTCTGAAATGTCTGATATATGTCACTATAAAGCAAACAGTGCAGGATTGGAAATCAGGAGACCC